AGTAGTTATTAACGGCCAAGTTAAACTTAGGAGTTGGACTTGCAGGGCAAAGGGGTGGTTATGGGATAGAACATCACGATAGAACATGATAGAACATAATATATAGTCAGGGGTGTCTATCAATCACCACCTTTTGGGCGGTGCTGGTGGATGATCTTGAATACTGTTGAGAAACCCCAGCTGCAGGCGGAGAAGGACAGTGTCTACTCGGCGCAGAAAGGTTCCCCCCCCCGTAAACTGGCCTCGGCCGGTCCAGGGACACTCCATGCCACGCACCAGGTCACGGTTTCGGACGCTCCTGGCTTCTCCTGGCTCCAGTTCACATGGGCAACAGGTTGGTGACCCACCATGACCCATCTTGACCCGCAAAACACCACCGGAGCCGAGGAAGAGCGCCCTGAAGAGCCCGAGCCGAGCTTCACGGGCGTGGCCGGGAAGAGCAGCCCACGTGGGCTCCACTGGGACGAGGAGGATGAGCAGGGGCTGTCTGCAGAGTCCACACGGTCTTTTGAATTATGGACCGTGCCGGCGAGCGTGCAGTGTACACTGGGCAGCAGAGAGGAAATGGACCTATAGGGGCTCCAGTCGTACCTCAGAAGGTATGACTGGACCCTCTAAACCCACCCCAAACAAACACATTCTCAGAAGGTATTTGGAGCCCTAGGGAAATGGAAGGAACACAGAATAGTTGCAGACCAACAGAGGTGGGTCAGAACGCGACTGTTCGGCTATCCCAGTTTGGTACCCCATTGACGGGTCCTAGAAGTAGGAAAGGCTTGGTGGGTCGCGACACCTGCACGTTCGGCAGGGTCGCAGAACTACTGGAAGAGGGTTGAGCAATGGACTAGGTTTTGCACTACAGCATCATGCTGCAGGTTGAAGGCGTGAAATTCGTTCACAGGATTGGCAGGACTTCGGCGTTTAGGTTGGATCGATTGTTGTGGTGCAGGCCAGGCCAGTTCGGGTCCTAGAAGGTCACTTGACCTCTCGTGGTAGGTAAGCAAAGCATATATCAGTCAGAGTCAGTTGCATCATGTTTGATCCCGGTGGCTCCTGTAGAAAACAGAAGGTTGAGAAGAACACCCTGGCACTACCCCAACCACCGAACCGAAACGAAGCTAGGCCAGGAGCTCTAGGGTATACACCACCTTCTCACTGGGTGGTGCTGGAGTATCGCAGTTGCTTGAGGGAGACCTTGGCAGGAGCGTGAGGGACCCACATCATTTACGACCACCATTTCCCGGGTTTTGAGACCACTTCAACCTTCAACATCCTTCGACCTTGGAATATATGTGTTTGTTTGAGTGTTTAACTTGTTTGGTATATGTGCCTGCATTACTCTCTCTCTAACCCCCCAATGTAGCTAAATATTCCATACATGCAGTGATTGGGTTTAGGAACTTCCTGCTTTGACTTATTTTACCTCTTACCTCGAGTCCACCACTACCAGGGCAAAATGAGTCAGTCATGACCTCATGACCTCATGACCTCATGACTGACCTCAAGACCTCACGACTACCCAGGATATCCCAGGATCGTCCAACCAGATCCACCGAGGTGTGGATGACGACCTCCGTTCACGTCATTCCTACGAGTCCTGGACGGTGCCCACGACCACGGAGATCGACGCCCCCTCCAACCGATTGCTCCATGCCCCTCTTCTACCGTCGAGAGAGCCTTTTGAGAGCGACGGGAGCCGAGAGGGAGGTAGGAAACACTGGGGAAACCTAAGAGAGGTTGAGAGACCAGAACTAGGACCCTGTGTGGTACATATGGGATGGTCTATAGGGCTGTTCAACCTCTCTTGGAAAGGGCTGTTCAACCTGGGTCGCTCCAAGACCTGGACGAAAGACCTGAGCTGCCATGGCTCCAGGGGCCGGATGGGAGATGCACCCAACACCACTCTCACACCTTTTTGGGACGAAACGGTGGAACAAGCTTTCGTGGTGTCTTCCTTCGTGTGACATCGAAAGTCACCAATCCGATCCCATAGAGCTCCAACCTGCTGAGAAGGTGAGACTGGGGTAGGTGCCAGGGTGTTCTGTCCCCTTCTGAGGATGTGGGACAGGAACCCTACTAAAGATTTTTCTCAATCTTCGGATTCACCATCTTGGTGAAATCAGACCGGACAAGTATTCCGTCCGTTCGATGGCTGGTGATTTTATGCAGATTACAGAACCGTCTCCGAAGGGTTGAGGTGGAGTAGGGATGAGACAATTTGTGTGTTCGATGGCATATTTCATGGTGGACCCAAACATCATGTTTTGTCAGTACGGTAGTTTACTTATGAATGCAGATCATACAATACAGATCGTCAGATCGTCGATCTTGGAAGTTATGCTTTACTTCCGAACGCTGCTAAATCTTACATGTAGCTTCAAGAGCTGCTTTCGCTTAAAAATAAACATAAACTAAACCTAAGAATGGTTGCCAAGTCCTGTAATTGCTCAGAATGAATTTGCCAAAGGCCTTGCATCCACCCATGCATAGAAACAACTATTATGGGACTCGTGAGTATATTAGCTTAAGGATCTTAAGGAAATTAAGTATTTTCAGAAACCTGAAAGGGCCCAGCAAGCAATTCTACCAAGTCAATTCAGCAAGCCCGTCCAATCAACCAATGCACATATACACACACACACGCATGGGCACATATGATTTGATTTTTAGCTTGTTGCTGTTAATCAAATACTCTTGAACTAGGAGCTGCTTAGCGGCAAACCAACACATGTTCCAAATACAACGTGCAAAAGACCTTCCAACAACATATATGAATAAAGATGCACATTCATTCTCACCAATTGTTGCATTTGTCACTTTTGCTTGAGAGGCTTTTCGGAATTTTCAACATCTTCCGAAACCTGAGAGGGCCCCTCTCAACCCAGCATGCTGCAACGCCCATCCAATCCACCAATGGATGCATGGAAGCATAGGCACCAACAATGGCAAGATGCTTCACATGTTACCAAAAGCTATGAATACAGTCAGACACATCTAATTGGAGAAATGCCGGGTATTACCAATGTTATATGTCCAATCATTCCAAAGACATAGTGCTGGAGGCAAAAGTTTCATCCGGAATTGTCCATTCTCGTTGTGTCCTTGGCTTGGGGGTGTCCCATTACCTGTAACAGTCGGTAAACAATTACTGTATCACTGCTTTAGAGAAAGGCCTTTTCTAGCCATCATCACCCACTGTTGCTGGTACATGGAATATACCCAATCCTTAGCTACCCCATATTGTTTTCTCAAAAAGTATTCTTCATGGTTAGTTAGATGTTGTGAACACCCAATAAATAGTGTCTTTTTTTGGGGGGATTAAGCTACCATGATTCCTCGATATTGATTTTGCTTTATACATTGGCTACCCGTATCTAAAATTGAGCAGGCGCAACCCCCGATACCATATAGCACCGGGATGTATATGTGTCTAACTTTTCCCATACAGGACTCTAGAAGGTTAGGATGATGTTTCGGCGCACATGTGTAAGTGATGTACTAGATGTTGCTTTAAATTTTGCCTTAGTGCCCAAAGTGGGTGACAGATGACGCCCATCTTCAAGATGGCTTGGAGGGAGCTGTTAAGTTGAGATGACATTGACTTCCCCTAAGGCTCCAACTAGCTCCGTTTCGAAGACTGGACACAAATAGGCGCCATGCCCGGGGGTCTCACCACCTGAGAAGATGGGACAGGAGCCCTAGGGCTTTCGTCTACCTAGACCCTCCAAAGTACCTTTCAAATTTGGACATGACCCCATAAAAACAGGTACTTGTACCCATTTTCTGAGGTACGTACGGGTCGACTCCAGGTAGTTTCCAGCGCTCCGGAGGATTGCTCCCGAGAGCCGTTTGAGACGACGGTGACCGGACCTCGCTGCACCATCGTCAAGCGTCGACCTCCCCCAGGAAGCGTACCGGAAGGAGGTGCATTCGTTCATCGCGGGCGTGAGACGCGTGGTGAGAAGGTGGGCGTAGGTTGAGGGTTGACTTCTACCCTCAGAATCTTGATATCATCAGCAGACTCCATCCATGTACGTTTGGTGGGTGATCACAGTGCTGCATTTGGCATTTCCAAGCCACTTGCACGTGTTACACAGAGTGAATCTCCGATACGTTAGCATGCACTTGCGCTCATTTAAGAACTACTATATGTGGCCTGTACACCCTCAAGGGTGCCCATTCATTTTCTCCCTCGAGGTGCATTTTCCTGGCCGGACCATGCCTGACATCGAACAGGGGGTGAGTGGTTCTGAAACAGCTTCGAGACGTCAAGTCCGACCTCCAACTTCGTCCTCTTCGGGGAGTCGTGACAGACCTGAGAGGGGTCACGTTTCGGACGAGTTTAGACCAGCGAGTGAGGAAAGCCTGCCGAGGGGGCGGGTGAGGAAAGCGGCTGAAGTGATGGCTTCTGCGAGCACAGTGAATCTGTAGGGGGTGTGGGGGAGGTGCGGAAAGTGACTCTTAAAAACCCAAGGAGAACTAAGAACGTATATCTTGTCTTTATGAGAACCCTATGTGCCAAAAAAACAGCACAATGATATCAGATTGACCCTGAAACCACTGGATTGTAGAGACTTCTCTTCCAGCAGTCCTTTTCAAGGATAGACAAAATATAACATGTGTTGGCGACCAGTGGCTCACATTAACCTTTGTGCTTGGCTGTGTGTCGGATCACCCTGCGTGTCCGATCACCGTAAGTCACCTGTTTTTGGTGACTTTGCCCAGACACTCCATGGGACTGCCATATATGCCGCCCCATTGACCCCCCAAACCACCACCCCAACTGATCGGCAGTCCTATGGCAGTCCCATGGGTCGTGTTTGGGTTGGGACACCCCACTAGCTCCGGTCCCAAATCCAAAGCTTGGGAGGGGCGGGCTTCGCACACTCCCATCCTCCAAACGAAGCGCCGAAAGCAATGAGTGGACTGGGGAAGTACGACTGGAGCCCCCCCCCAAACAAACACCTGGGAGTCAAAGACTATATTTACAGAATGGTCTTTAGGTGATCCGAAAAGGAACTTCCTTTACTTGGGTGGTGCCATGTGGTGCCTAAAATAGTCTTTGGACTTCTAGGGCAAAGGGCTTCACACCAGCGCCTGGGTAGATCCCTTTTGCACCGACCGGTCTACTTCGCTGGCGCTGAGGAAAGGATCCCATTGCATTCAAGCGATTGATCGGTCACTGGGAAAGTCGTCTCAACGAAGGGAAGTGGAGGGAAGTGGAGTAAGTCGAGTGAATCAAGTGGAGATTCACCAAAACCATCTCCACCCTGAAGAGAATCAAGTAGAGTAAGTCCCTTCGATTCGTTACTAACAAACTCGCCATTGAAAGCCAACAAACAACCAGCTAAAACTCTGGCACCTGGAATTCAACCCAGAAAGCCATGCCATGCAAAACCGATCGACACCGTCATCTTCCGGGGGATAATATGAACCATGGTATCACCGGTTTTATCGACTATAGGCATAGAAGTTGGAGAAGGCTATATGTTCTTCTTTCATGGTTCTTCTATCCCAAAAAAGCGGGACCAAAACCGCGTTGAAAAGCCCGAAGACCCGACGATGAGCCTATCAGATCCGTCGATCCAAGAAGAGCCTATCACCTTCTCCGCCGGGTTGCGACGGATCAGAAGTTCGACATGGGCCCCTGGTTCTCACCATGTTCCTCAGTGGGAACCAGGGAAGGGCTGCGCTGTGTGGTTTCCCACACTGCTTGGCGTCCCAGGAAAAAGCCGTGGAGAACTCGATGAAGCCACACGTTCCTTTTGGGATTCACTCTGCGAAGGTGACGGGTGGGACATCTCTGTGACGGGGCTGTGCCGTGGTTTGGACCAGTCGGTCACGAAGCCAGACACGAGCCGTTTGGGACTGCCATAAGAATGCCGATCAGGCCAGGGGTGGTGCCAGAGGGGTCAATGTAGAGTGTATGGGGTATACATGGAGTGCATGAGGTATACGGGCGCAAGAAGCGAGAGAGCAGAGAGCTGGCGAGGTAGAGCAGAGTTGGCTTGTTGATCACCGGCTCCTGTTGTGTCCTGTTGAGCCAGCGCGGTCTAGCTGTCCCCTAGGCTTCCAACAACCATGGTTTTAATGGTCTGTATACCAAACCACCATTGTTTTACTAAGGATCTGGCACCACGCAACCAGGTCAACCTTTGTTTTAATTGTCTTGAAAGCCTAGGGTGTCAATGGGTGTCCACTACTTAGGGATCTCTGTGCAAGGTCCAACCACTTGCTGAACGATGAAGGGACGTAGCCGATCTGATAGCTGGCAAGTCGAGTGACAGATCACGGCAGAGTCGAGCGGCCGAAAGTGGCCGATCGAAAACTGCAGGGAGGTTATGCTTGAAGACCATCGCACTTCGGTCGTGATGATGATGATGAGGAGGAGGATGATGATGACGATGAGGAGGTGGATGATGGTGATGATGATGATGATGATGATGATGATCATGATGATGACCTTCCGAGTTTACAGTGTGAATCCATGACTGCATCTTCAAACCAATTACGTTTTGATCCTCCGCATGTAACCCAAACAAATGCAAATAACGAGCAGGTGTGGATCTGTAGGTTGAAACCACCACCAACCAAGGGAGTCCTGAACTTCTTTCACTTCGATTCAGTTGTTGAAACATTTGCTCGGCCTCGGCTCTCCAGGACGCCGGGCACGCGGCTTCTTCGACTGGCTGCGGCGAAGATGACAGCGAGGGTTCGCGGTAGATAGGAGTACAGAGTAGCTACAAGGCTTGGCCCAGAGACAGACCATAGTTGGCCTTGAACTCGTGGTTGATTGATTCTGTATAACTATAGAGGTGAGACCCTCAAGTGTGCAACCAACATCTGCCCAGACGCTCCGTTCACAGCCCGACTGGTCCCTCAAAACCTAGAGATTTGAGACTTGACCCCACCGACCCCTTTGATTCTTCCCGCAAAAAGGGCGGACAGACGACGTCAGGGCACTCGGGTGATATCGGACGTATTCGGACGTGCCAAATCGAATGCGGGAAAAAAAAACAAACACATCATTTCAATTGGACAATTTTCAAGAGAATAGCAGAAGGAAGATGAAGGAAGGGGCTTCGTTTTCAGGAATTGGAAAGACCCATTTTCCGTCTTCCGTGTCTACCGCTGATAGGGCCAGTATATACTGTAGTAGCAGTAACAGTTTTTGTTGGCTAATTCTTGACTTGTATGCGAATGCATGTGCCGTTTCATTTGTATGAGTCACCTTGGTTCTTTTTCGAGGTTCGTAGTCATCGGGGGTCGTAGTCGATCTGCATGGTTTGTCGATAATTCGTCCTCAAGGACGATTGGCTGGTTCTTTGGGCCATTTTGGTGATCGCGGGAGCTATCCGAGACCCCATGTCCGGCCTCGGCGCCGGGCCATGTGTGTTGCATGATGGACCGCCGACCTCGGGTCGTGTCAACTGAGAACATCGGACGTGATGAAGCACCGGGCACCCGCTTGCTTCCAAGGAGAGATGTCGCATGTCACTTAATAAGTCCCGACCGTGGATCGGAAGAGGGAAACACCATCACGGTATGCAACTCTTACTATAACAGCAGTATGTGTTTGTTTTTTCCCCAAGTTGGCCACCTTGTATACTTGGAGAGCTCCACCTAGTTCAACTCTGGTTGGGCACCTTCCAAAATGGTGGGATTCTCAGCCCTGTCCTCAAAAACCCTTCAAGAACCCCTCACGACGTGAACTGGCTCCCTGGTGCCCTCCATGGCGCTTTTGCGCGTCGCCCGAAGAACTAAGACAAAGAAAAACCGCCGGTGCTACCGGTGCTGAGGCAGGTGCTGCACCAAGAGGCAAAGGTTACTTAGACCTGGAGTCTCAAAGTACATGGGAAAATGGGTACTGTACAAGTACTTGGTTTTTTATGGGGTAAATCGGCAAATGTTCTCAAGTTTGAAGGTTCTTTGGAGGGTCCAGGTACATGCATATACATGAATTGAACCGCCCCCCTCCAAACATGGAAGTGGAACACGACCCCGAAAGGAAGACTGTTTTCCTTGGCTAACAGGGGTATAAACAACAAAAACAACGAAATCGTTTTACCTCCCGCTGTTCATCAGCTGCCTTCATTATATAGTCGAAGGATCAACCTGGACCTTCCTCAACTTCAGCAATATGAGGTTCAGCTCCTGCTGACTGGGGCACATGCCCCCCAGTTTGGACATCGACACGAAACATGCAACACACTTTTCCAGCATCGCGGCTGCGAGCATCCATTTGCTATATGCACCAGCCACGGTGAGGGGTTGTCAGACGTTTTCTTCGTTTTATCCTTCGTTGCCGACTTGGTCCATACTATCGCAAGACAATGTGAGGAGGAATTCGGAACATCCAAGGAGGCTGAAGTCCGCAGGTTTTAAGATATAAATCCTGCATGCTAAGCCTGTCTTGGTTTTGTTCAAGGGTTGGAGATGCTCGAGCGTCGTTGCTTTGAGCAACTTCAAACCCGAATTTGCTCAAGTGCTCGGCCCACGTTTTTGTTTTGCACGTGCGGCCAGCAGTACATCCCCATACCTTTGGAAGGACCTATGGTTCTTGCAGGTTGCCCTGGCCAGGCTGCCAGGTGCTGCACAGTCCCAATCAATAGCTTCACACAGTTGCAGCAGTGTTGTTCAAAAGAAGTTCAAGCTTGTTTATCAGATATTGTGCTGAATGTTGGGGTAATATTTTTTTCATTGGCGGTGTCTCGTTTTGCACTGGCTTACAGTCAACAACATGTCGCCGGCCCTCCATTTGTGGCGTCAAAGATGCCGCCGCTAGCTTGGGATGAAAGATTCTATCCCGCGTCAGACGTACTAGGTCACTGGTCTCCCTGTGGCAAGGATTTGTTTTGGAAAGCAGGACAGATGCAGCAAGGACCTTTTTGTTGAATTGTCTTTGCCCAGCTTTTTCCTGTCCAGCAGATCATCCTTCGTATGGATTCTGGCCTAACCGTGCCCCCTACCCCCACACTTCACCCTCCTGCCCTGCCCCGTGGGCAAAAAGCAGTTGTTGGATGGCCTGTGACGTCACGACGTGTCGCTCGGATCGATCGGACATCCGACTTGCCTGAGCAATACCAGCACCACACACGAGGAGTCGGGCACCATGCCTTCGATTGCAGGCAGATTAGCCATCGGCAGAGAAGTCTCCGAGTGCATCGCAAGGTGGCCCGCCAGCTTTCGTATTTCCTGAAGGAGTTGCTCGAGCACTTGGACGTTCGGAAAAAGAAGAGCAGAGCTGGAGTGCTTCCTGTAAATGAATAGAACCAATCGTTTGGAGAGGTTTAAAATTTGACCATTCGATCGGGGCTTCAATCATTCATCAAGAGTTTGGGTTTGTCCCAGTACCTGTAACAGTCGACTAAACACACAAATTGTGACCAATGCCTTTATATGCCTTCCTAGAACCTGATTGACCCCTGTTTTGGAGCCAACACATTGTCTTTTCCTATCAAAACAGAGGTCAAATGGGTTCTAGGTTTACTAACCATCATCATTAGAGGTAATGGGATCATATGGACATCACACCTCTGCAAATCCCATCCTCAACCCTTGAGCTGGCAGCATCCCCAGTAATCCAAACATCCAAGTGCCGTATTACAAACATCCAAGAAGGCCTGAGTATGTGAATCATCCGCTGGAACAAATCAGTTTCGGATGCAACCTCTCATTCAGATGGTGTGAAACTTTCAGCATCACCCCTTCTAGCTGTTTCTGCGTGGAAAATCCACGCTTCGGTGCCACCAACTGCCGTGTTGGTCGACGGGGTGCCGAACTTGGAGGATAGGGGCTGCCTAGAACATCCGCTCACTGGATGGGATGAGCCACACCACCCCGTCGAACGTGACTCCTGGTGCCTTGCACTTCCTGTCCGGGTGCCCTGTCAGGAGACCTGTTTACGTAGCGTATAGTCTAACGCCAGGACACCCAGATGGTCGGATGATCCTGGTAGATATCGAACATGGGCCCAGCTTGCAGAGAAGCAAGGCGATCATTTGGCTCACACGCCCACCCAACCTCTGACGCCCAGCTCGGCCAGTCTTTCCGTCGACTCAGGCCACCTTCTCTACAAGCAGCGGCCACCGTCAGGCACTGGGCGGCACTGGCCACTGGGATGCACCGGGTGAGTGGGGTCGACCAGGGGGCGCATCTGACATACCCCAGACACCACGAGCCGTTTGGGACTGCCAGTCCGGAACCTGCCGGTGCCACTCGTGGCACCGGCCGGGCCAGGGTGGTGCTAAGCGGTTTGGGCGGGCGGGCGGTCCGATTCCAGTTCCATCGAGTGTGGTGGGTCATCGAAGTGACTCCCGTTTGGGCTCCAGTCGTACCTTCGTTTCGAAGGTGGGACTGGGGTGGGTGCCAGGAGGGTCCAGTCATACCGAACCTGAGGAGGTACGACTGGAGGTGTAGGGACTGTATATAATCCCTATAGTAGAGATCCAGTTGTACCTTCTCCTCAGGTTCTTTTTACGGCTGGACCATGGCACCTCTGGCACCGGCCTACATAACAGTGTCCAACACATCACCGTACCTGAGGTGCGGTACGACTGGATCCCTATATAGGGAATATCTTATAATATAGTTATCTCCTGCAACATTTCTTGAGATAGAAATTAGATCCATTTGGATCCATGTGTAACGTTTTAACATTGATTATTCAGTACCTCTGTGTATCCTCAACCTGGTCTTGGCGGAGGGTGATGACCTGAACTGGGTCCATCCCCGAAACTGGAGGAAGAAGTTTCGATGATTTTGCCGCAGCCAATCCCACACAGCGGTCGCTGTCCAGGTGATTGGCGTGGCGCCACTCAGAGCCCCGAGATTCCACACCCAAAGGATCCGTGGGATTGCCATAGGACTGCTGCCCCAGAAATAAATACACCTTTGGCACCACCCCTGGCCCTTTTCTCGGCAAATGTTACAGGCCCAGAAAAGTCGGACTGGGGCAGCTTGCAGAGGGGTCGTGAGCTGTTGAAGGCCTTGGACCGGTTTTTGGGGCACGGAACGCCACCCGGTTCTACGGCCACCCGTGTTCGCAGCTGAGGCCCTTGAGAAGAGGCCAAGGAGATTGGGAAGCTTTGAGACTTCACCCCGTCGCTGTCGAGAGAAAACACGGTTCAACAGGTTTTCTCACACTCCATGGGACTAGAAGATGTTCCATTGGCCCAAGGTCCACCACCCCAATATATTAAAACGTACCAGTCCCATGGGGTCCCATGGAGTGCACTGGGTGTTGTGACCATGTTTGTTCCATTCAACCACCAGTTCACTGCTCACCTGGGTCACCTGGGTCGCCTGCCTTCCAAATGGGCCCAGAAGGGGGCTGAGAAACGCTAGGTGGTTGAACTGACTCCGTGAGCCCAGTGGGGCCTCCGCCCGTTCCAGTTCCGATGGGCCTCGACTGACTGGCGCGACTGGCGTGGCGCGACCCGGTGGTGAAACGACGAAGGAATCGAGTTGGAAGTCTGAAGGGTGGAAACATGACACGAAGCAAAGGAGTCCTTTGCAGAAGTGACAGGAGTTACAGTACATGGAGTTACGTAGCCTCCAGAAGCCATGTTCTTCCTCTCAAGCATCCTAAAGGCCCAATTTGGGAGGGCTGCTTCACAGTGGAAATTCCTGGGGTCACCGAAGCCGACCAGATTCTGCCATCACCGCACATGGGCCAGGCCAGCTGAACTAGTGACATACGGGGCATCCATCAGAAACAAAACTAATTATATATATCCCTATTGACTTGTAAGGGAGAAGTATATAAATCAAGTTTCGGTCACTGACAC